CTGCTCGATCCGTTGAAAATGCGTCGCTTCGCTAACAGCCTGCCTCGGCTCGACCGCTTCCCCTCTACCCTCCCCCGGCACTCCTCCCCCCAACCCAACCCCCCCTTTTCCCCAAAGCCTGCCTAGGGGCCCGCTCGCCTCAGGGAGCACCAGGCGCGAGCCACGTCGACCCTGTAATGATGTCTGATATGCAGGGAAAGAAGGGCGATCACGAAATCACGGATCGGTTGCACAGTATCGCGCGGCGACGATCACGAAGGAAATGATTACTAATTTCCTGGGAAGGGAAGGAAGGGCGATCACGAAGGCGCCGATCGGTTGCACAGTACCGCGCAGCGGCGATCTCGACTAGCGCTGATCGCCCTGAGTTTGAGATATCGCTGATCATCTTCCGCACAAGTTAACGAGCAGACGAGTTTTGAGACGTCTTAAAACTGGCTCTGATCGCCGTGGGTTTGAGATATCGTTGATCATATTCTGCACAAGTGAATGCGCAGACCAGGTTACTGCTGGAAATCTTCTTTTCAAACCAACGACGTCTTGTTATTGTAGACACCGTATCGTCCAGCGACGGAACCTGGCCAGGAAATTTGTGAATCTCGATTTGCTTTCGCCGGGAATGGACGGCTCGACAGGCGCCGCCGGTTCTTACGCCGCACTTGGCGGCAGCCGCAGGTCGTTGAGTGCGTTACCCCTCTCGACTATCCACGAGGGTGCGAGCCGCTGGCGACGGCGACCATCCATCCATGAGGCGACAACGGCGACGGAATCGTCAGTGGCGCCGTCGTCGCTGCCGTCGTCTTCGTCGTCTGCGACGTCATCGCCGCGAAGGGAGCAGCAGCGCGAAAGCTTGCGACAGCTGCGGGAGCGGATGGCGCAGATCGACCGGCGGCTCGCAATGCGATTGGCGGAAGCCGATGCGGCAACGCGCCGCGGCGCAATGATGACAGTGACCCTCCCGTTTGACTCGCCACTGCATGATGCGGAGCGATCAGCGCATCACCACGATTCGGTATGCCGGATTTTCCCGCTCGGTACAGTCACAAAGCAGCGCAAGAGCTGCTGCGATTTCGACAGCGGCTCTTCAACCAGTAGTAACCCCGAAGCAGCAGCAGCTCTAGTGTTTCCAAAAGCCGCGTCCGATCCTGAGCCAGACCCGCTTCCGCGAGCCGCTTCGCTAGGAACTGTCAGAAGACGCCATCCTTTCCGTGTTCCAGGTGGGGAAACCCTAAATGCGGCAGGATCGACGCGGCTGCTTGCAGGGACGCGGAGTGGCCCGGCGACAGTGGTAACTTCGACCGACGGTCACCGTGAATTCTCCGCGTCACGCCCCGCTAACGCAGCAGGCGGCCGTGCAATTGCTCACGACGCGGTTTCGGATGAAACACTGATTGCTATCGCGGCAAATAGGGTATCTAGAATCGGCAAAGGCGGCGGACACTTGGAGGCTAAATTGGCTGGGCATAAGCGATCGTCGCCTCACCCTGGCAGCGAGGCGCCCCTTTTTATTGAAAGCAGCGGGGATGTCTTAAAGCTCGAAAACTCTAGCAACTCCGTCGTACCGCCGGAATTAGAAGGGTGCCGAGCGCTATGTGCGGAGGGTAGCAGGTGCTATGGATACAGGTGGAGGTGTGCGGCTGTTCGGTAGAGAGGAGTGCCCAAGTGTTGACGGCCTGAAGTTTTCCAGCTGGGAGGCTGCTGTTACAGCATTAGTAATATCAACGCTAGTGGGAATTTTGATTATAACTCTTGTTACCCTTTTCCTGCCATGGTAGGCAGTGTTCTTATAAATCTTGCCTTTTCTACATGGCCGTGTCAGTTTCACTGGAGTGTTTTACCATGCTTCCAAATGCTGTGTTGCGTATCTTCATTGTAATTTCTAGCCGCACTTTTACTTCCCACACATGTAAAAACACATTGTCATTATTTCCACATGGTAAGATTCACCTCATTTTGCCTTTTCATTAGAATGCATGGATGTCATCGCCTATATTCCAGCTAGTGAATGGTGTAGAATTTTGACTCCATGAGCGCGTCGAGTTAACTCTGGATCGAAACACTACCCAACCGTTCAATCACGCAAAGCATCTCATCAAACCGCAGTCAACGAACTATTGAATTCACTATTTCCGTCCCAGCCAGCCCCTCAGAACTGACTAGGACATGAGCCGCCTAGGCGGCAATGCTCTCTAATTAGGCTGACTGCATTGCGGTTTGCCGCAGGCTTCTGCGCCACTTGATGATTGGAAAGGCACTTCGGCGACCTATCGATCTAGGTCGAAGTTATCCTCTGCATTGATTGACAGTGAGCTGACCCGAAGCGCTTCTTAGTACGCGTCCTTAATTCGCACAATTACCAGTCATCAGCCCGCAAGGATACTGATCAGTCGTTCCGTTTGAATGAATAAGATCCCTTGACGTACCGTTCGAGAGTTCTCAAAAAAAAAAAAAAAAAAAAAAAAAAGGAAATCCTGGTATCGTTGTGCCTGAGTAGGATCCCCGTGACGTACCGCGATAATGTAAAGGACGATGGGCGTTTGACGACCAGAGCTCAGGGTTGACATAGGATAGCGCGTGTGAACAGGATTTAACGCCTCAGCGTCGCCTAGGCTAGGCACCAGGAAACGCAGCAGCAGGCAGCAGCATTAGCTGGAATTCCGTGAAGGTGCAGTCCGGTGCAGTCCGGTGCAGTCAGGTGCAGTCCCGTGCAGTGCGCTGCAGCATGGCCAACGCTCTGCATCCCAAAAATGGGGCTGATCGAAACCTACCATGAAGCTACTATTTAGTTACTTGTCGGTTGTTGTCCAGGAAACAACTTTCTAGTTACTAGCGAACCTACTGGGCGAGGTTGGGCTGCTCCGAACGTAAACATACGGGAAGGTTACTTTGTGGCAGGAATGAACTTGTGTGCAGCGAAGTCCCCACGATTACACACGAAAAGCAGTAACTCTGCTTTTGCGACTGATGCGGCTTACACCCATTTGAGCACGAAAAGCCGAGTAACATTGCGTTCCCTGAGCTGTGACCTTTTGACTGGCTGGGAAGTCATGTTTCCACTGGGTTGCGTCGAATGAGCGCATTTCGCGCCAAACACTGACAGAGATTATCATTGGTAAAGTGTGCGACACCTGTCAAGCATATTCCGAACAGGTCAGACAGCATGACCGAACCTGGGGATTACACGTTTCGGGGAAGGGCACAAGGCAAATGCACGCTTGTGCAACACGTCGCAGTAATTTTCTTGGTGTTTGCTGACGTGTGCATCTAGTGCGTCCCCAAGTGTCGCTATATTATTGACGCCGAGAAAGTGTGTGTAACAGTTACGTTGTTGTTAATAGGGTAACTTTAATTTAGCAATTTTCTATATTCGTAAAATTGCATTTTATATATTCTGTACTGGTTCTTTTATGCATATAATATTAATTATAAATGGATTATTAATACGATTAGTTATTGCAAATACTACGCAACAGGGGTACTGAACAAATTACTACGCCACACAGACTACAACGCAAACACTGCTGCAAACACATGGCATCCTACGCTTTCTTAAAGGTGAGGCTTAGGGACCTTGCAATCCTGGCAACCCTGCGCATGAGATAAACACCCTCTCGGTGGTTGCATTGAATTTCCAAGCAGCCTTATCAGCCTCCCACCACGGGCCCGTAATTGCGCTCCTATTCTGAACGGCGAACGCGACGGCGTTGTGGACCTTCGAATGGTGAATCGTCAATGCGTTTCGATTGGCAACCGGGCTACGCGGCATTTCTTGACCGTTGATCAACTTGTACTCGACCTGCAACAAGCAATGGGTTGGGGTGATTACAACGTATGTCAAAAACCAGCATCGCGACATGCAACTAGACAAAACACCTTGTTAACACAACCACATGGCTCAACATACCCCCAGCAGAAAAAAGGCAAGTTGATTGAATCGGAGCACCACAAAGGAGTGCCCCGGCCTCTGAAACGAGTGGAATACTGCAGCAGTGAAGAAGTCTGTTGAGAATGGCAGGCCATCGTCATTGAAGTGCCACTTCAGCAAGCCCCATGAAGTCGCATCTACTCAACAGTGGAGGTAAGAATGGGGGGAGAAAATACGCGTTGGTGGATGCAATAGATTGAGTGGGTGGGGGCAGGTGTTCTGAGCGGAGAAATGAGGGTGAGAGGCGCTGCATAAACACACAGAAATGGCTTGCACTGCAGTGGCGTTAACCATGTGCCTGCTGGAAGTGGACAAGCTAGGTGCACTACAGCAGGGTACAAGGGGGGTAAGGGGCAGGGTTAGTAGGAAGCACTAGGGTTTAGCAGTGAAACACACAAGCCAGGTGCACTACAGTAGGGTTCAGGTGTGCCTGCTGGAATGGCGAAGGTGGGGGCGCAAGGGAGGGAGGGGCTGGTTCTAATGAGACACCAGGGCCGTGTGAATTTCCGCAAGGTGCCCTCCAGTTTGCCCTCAGGTGCGCCTGCTGGAATGGGGAGGGTGGGGACACAAAGGAGGGCGCTGCTGGTAAGAACGAGGCACATGGCCCACACTTTGGAACCAACAGGGAGGGCAGGTGCCCTCCAGTTTGCCCTCAGGTGCGCCTGCTGGTATGGGGAAACTGGAGAGGGTGCTGCTGGTTAGAACAAGGCACTTGGCCCACACTTTGAAACCCACAGGGAGGGCAGCAGCCCTCCAATTTGCCCTCAGGTGCACCTGCTGGAATGGGGAAGGTGGGGACGCAAGGGAGGGAGGGGCTGGTTTTAATGAGACACCAGGGCCTTGAAAATCACGAAGGGTGCCCTGCAGTTTGCCCTCAGGTGCGCCTGCTGGAATGGGGAAGGTGGGGGCGCAAGGAGGGAGGGGCTGGTTCTAATGAGACACCAGGGCCGTGTGAATTTTCGCAAGGTGCCCTCCAGTTTGCCCTTAGGTGCGCCTGCTGGAATGGGGAGGGTGGGGACACAAAGGAGGGCGCTGCTGGTAAGAACGAGGCACATGGCCCACAATGCCAAACCCGCTATCCACGGCAACGGTTGGGGTTTTTTGCCCTCAGGTGCGCCTGCTGGAAGGGGAAGGTGGGGGCACAAGAGAGGGAGCGGCTGGTTAGAACGAGGCACTTGGCCCACACCTTGAAACCCACAGATATGGCAGTTGCACTGCAGGTTGCCAGCAGGTGTGCCTGCTGGAAAGGGAAGGAAGTGGCACAAGGGAGTTGGGGCTTGGTGAGAACGGGGCACAAGGGGCTGTATGGTCCCGCAGCCTTGGCAGGTGCACTGCAGTGGCAAAAGAGGGGGTGATACAGGCGTGGGGGGTAAGAAATAAGGCGTGGGTGGGGCTTCGTCTTACCAGCAAAATATTCGGCACAAAAGGCTCCAGGAGAGAGGGTTCCGACCACTTCCCTCCCGCGATCCGGTCGAGCAATGCGGATATCGAAGCGCTCGTACAGCATCACACGGCCCATTGTGTGGACCTTGTTGCGGGCATCCTGCTGCTGCTTTCTGAGGTGGCCCGGGCGCGTTTTCTCATTCTCCATGACCAGCCGCACTTTCGCCACATAGTCGGCGTCGGTGATACCGATAGCGGTGCAAAGTGCAGTGATGTTGGTGTCTCGCGGCGTCCAATACTCAAGGTCGACATCGGGCGTCTCGAAGTACATGATTTCCACTGCACGCTTCGCCGCTCCCTGACGCCGGAGCAAGGGGAGTTTAGGATAGAAGGGGGACAGATGAGAGGGAGGGGAGTGGAGGGTAGCGGCGGGGAAGGGATTGGGGGAGGCGGGAGCGCAGGATGATGGGGCGGATGGGATACGTGTGAGGTGAAGAGGCACAAGGCAAGGCGCATATGCATCACACTCATGCAGCTGGATGGTTCCATTCAAATTAAGAAGTGTTCACGCGAACTACCTCCACACCAAGCATGCACTCAACCCAACGGACCTTAAAACCGTTGTGCATGTCAGGGACGCCCGCCAAGGCGGCGGCGTAGCGGTGAGCCCACGTCAGCTGCATGCTTGACAGTTGTTGCAGGTCCAGTATGACGCCTCGCTTGTGCGCCAGCTTCACCGCGTTTTGGATGGCATTTCGGTTCGGCTCCACACGAAGGACGCTGGGGACCGGCGGCAGCATAGTAGCAGCTGCCACGCCGTCATTGCGCGTTGCGTTCCCACCCGCACCTGCCTGCCCGCTCCCATCCGGCGCCGCATCCTCGGCAGGGTCAATGTTGGGGGAGTTTGCCGGGTTGCTGCTGCCCTCTCCTCCATTGTTGGGCGGTGAGTTCGCCGCAGCCCGCTGCATGTTGCGTCGCTCGTTCTCATACTCCATAAGGCGGCGCCGGAACTCACGGTTCTCCCTTTGCGTGTCCTCGAATTCGGCTCGAGTAACACTGTCGATGATATCGTTCCCCTCCTCTGCATCGTGATCTGCCGACAACGGCACAAATCCAGGATTGGGCATGTCAGGCTCAATCTCCGGAAACCCTTCGGGATCCGCAGGTTGGTCATATTCTTCTTGGTCTTCGTCATCACTCAGATCAAATCCCGTGAAAGGCCTCGATGAGTTTGGCTGCTGCTGTACATGGCCACTGAGTGGGGATGCAAGAGCTGATGAGGTCTGCTGCTGATGCACAGGCGCCGTGGGCTGCTGCTGATGCACAGGCGCCGTGGGCTGCTGCTGATGCAGGGGCGACGAGGGCTGCTGCTGATGCAGAGGCGACGTGGGCTGATGCTGATGCTGCACACGCGCGTGATGTGGAAGAGCCGATGTGCCCTGATGCTGCTGCCCATTGGTTTGCTGGTGCAGCGGTGCAGACGGCTGCTGCTGAACGAGAGTTGCTGACGGCGGCTGCTGATGCAGAGATGCTGACGGCTGCTGCTGCTGCAGACTTGCTGACGGCTGCGGCTGATGCAGAGATGCTGACGGCTGCTGCTGATGCAGAGATGCTGACGGCTGCGGCTGATGCAGAGATGCTGACGGCTGCTGCTGATGCAGAGATGCTGACGGCTGCTGCTGATGCAGAGATGCTGACGGCTGCTGCTGCTGCAGACTTGCTGACGGCTGCTGCTGCAGACTTGCTGACGGCTGCTGCTGCTGCAGACTTGCTGACGGCTGCTGCTGCTGCAGGGGCGATGTGGGTTGCTGCGCGAGATGAGAAAGAGACGACGTCCCGTGCTGTTGCAGCCCATTGGCATGCTGATGCAGAGTTGAGGGCGGCTGCTGCAGATGCTGGCTATCAAGAGGCAAGGAAGATGCAGAGTTCAGCTGATGCTGCAACCCATTGGCTTGCTGAGACAGGAAGGGCGGTGGGTGCTGCTGATCCTGGCCTTGTGTCCCCAAGTGCTGCAGAGCTACACCGACTGGTCTGGCACCAGGCGGCACAGTAGCGCGCCTCCCACCACTGCGGCGTCCGACAACGGTCCGCACAGAGTTCGATGTTGTTGAAGCGGGCGGTTGTGTCGATCCCAGTAGCGATGTGAGAGACACTATCCGTTCGCCTGCACAAAATGCAGCACGAATGTTGTCAGATGCGGAACAAGGGCTAAATGACTGGCACATCAAGGACTGCAACTGTGAAATGCAAGGCTCACACTTTGAACGATACGGAAATGGAAGGCTCACCAGTGCTGGGCGTGGTGGAAGCAGCTGCACCGGCCGAATTTCCAGCAGGGGGCTGACCCAGGATACGGACTGATTCCAGTGCTGCTGCGAACCTGCTGTGCTGTCCTTTGGTGGGTCGATCTGAGCGTCGTGGTCCTGAGGATGCCATAGGAGAGGAAAATCAACTTTGGTCAGTTTGGAAAACTGACTGAAAGTATGTTTTCCCATTCTATTTATACGGAACGCTGGTTCGATTAAACACGAGATCAACCTAAGCCCAGCTAGCAGAGCATCACGACTAAGGATAGGCCATTTGATCAAAGGCGTCATGGTTCAGAGAGGTGTAGAGTGGCATCGACCATCTCTGATTCAAATTTCGGAAGTTTAAAAAAGGAGGCTCACGTAACTGCTCCGTGGTCGTGTCTGTGGTGTCGCGCGCGGGGTACTTCAGCAGGAGCGTGACTCAACCGAGACAGACGAGCGCATTGCTGAGTTGTCTCGGATACAACTCAGCAATGCCTTTCGAAACCCGTTGGTCTGGGGAGAAGTGAGCTAGGGTTTCACGCGCCATTGCCTGGCAAGCTTGGTCCCTACACGGGGTCGATTTGCAGCAAGGCAAAACAAACGGTGTGAGTAAGGTATAAGGTCGAGCCGCGAACGACCCTGAACAACTTCGTACTCACTAGAAACTGGCGAATCGAGAAGAACAGAATGTCATGCTTAGAAAATAAAAACCCTTACTAATGTTGCCTTAATAGTAGCCACACGGTTCGCTATGTGTAGCAAGTGGTATGATAGCAATTGATTAGGTTCATTGATCCCCTCTGATTTTGAATAAGTAACATACTTCATCTCGTTGGCAGTTGCGATGCTCCCACTGCAAACATGTATCGATAACTGTTCAGGGATCATAAGCATGTTTCTTGTAGTCAACAACATCAGAGATCTTACGAACGGTGGAATGGGAAAGTCAATTCCATTGCCAAAGATCTTGGCTTGGTCTCTTTCGCTCAACTACGCAGCACGTAACGCTTCTTTGTGCGTCGGATGGTCTGAAACTATGCAAGGACTGGCCGGTACGCTACATGTAACCGTTTTGTCTTTTTTTTTTCGTGTTTTTTTTTTTTTTTTCCTTAGACCCATTTCTTCACATACTCGGTTAGTTCACTCACTTCCGTTGCCATAGAAACTGGATTGGGCTCTTTCGCTCAACTACGCAGCACGTTACGCTTGTTTGTGCGTCGGATGGCCTTAAATTGTGCAAGGACTGGCCGGTACGCAACATGTCACCGTTCCGTCATTTGGTTGTTTTTTTTAGCACCATTTCTTCACATATTCAGCTATTTCACTCAATTCTCTTTCGATAGAAACTGGTTAGACCTCATTCGCACAACTTCGCAGCACCAGACACATGTCTCTGCGTCTGATCGCATGAAACAGTGCAATGACAGCCCAGCGCTCATCATGTCACCGTTTCGTCGTTTGTATGATTTTGGTAGCACCATTTCTTCACAGACTCTGTTGGTTCACACTATTCCCTTGCCATTGGAACTGGTTTGGGGTCATTCGCACATCTACGCAGCACGTGACGCTTGCTTGTGCGTCTGATCGCCTGAAACCGTGCAAGGACAGCCCAGTGCGCAACATGTCACCGTTTCGTCGTTTGGTTGCTTTTGTTAGCACCATTTCTTCGCTTATTCTCTTAGTTCACACTATTCCCTTGCCATCGGACCTGTTTAGGGCTCAATCGCCCAAGTCCACAGGACACTTTCCATAGTTTAGCAAGTCGCAAACGTTATTGACTTCACAATAGAATATGGTAGCTTGGTTCATATAGCCTAATATAGACCTGGCATGCCTTTGGTACACTAATATCTCGACGCTAAGGAGTGTGTAAATGGCTGGAAACCTAGGCCCACCATGGTTAGTGAGGATCTTGGAGGGTTGTGGTCTTTTGGAAAGAGCATTTAATATGTACATGTGATGTGAGGTGAGGTGGCAATGGAAGCGTGTGATGTCAGGTGGGGTGGCAATGGAAGGACAGCTTTAGAGCTCAGAACATGTGGTCAACAGTTGATTGTGGTCTTCTTTCTGTAGGTGTTGCTTCTAGTGGGTTTAGAAATCCCACCCCTACTTGCTGTTTGATGCATCACACCTGCCATCCAGCTATGCAATGCTGTACTTGAAAGCTGCCAACATGCTTTCCTAGAAGCTACAATCCCTTGCATGCAATACGTGCCTTGTGCCCCATTTGGAACCATGCCATCCTTGCCATTAATCCGGTCCTTATGCTTGATCTGAATATAGGAACGTTCTGCTGGATCTGATGCTAGATGCCAAGAGGTTGCTCTTGTTTGAAGCAAACCATGGTTGAGAAGATCGTCTCATGTGAAACTTACACCTGGCAAAATCAAAATGGCTTTGCATCGTCACTGTTTCGTCGTTTGGTTGCTTTTTTTAGCACCATTTCTTCACAGATCCGTTACCATCACACTAATCCCTTGCCATTGGAACTGGTTTGGGCTCATTCGCACGTCTACGCAGCACGTGACGCTTGCTTGTGCGTCTGATCGCCTGAAACCGTCCAAGGACAGCCCAGCCCGCAACATGTCACCGTTTCGTCGTTTGGTTGCTTTTTTTAGCACCATTTCTTCACAGATGCTGTACCTTCACACTAATCCCTTTCCATTGGAACTGGTTTGGGCACATTCTCACATCTACGCAGCAGGTTACGCTTGCTTCTGCGTCTGTTCGCCTGAAACCGTGCAAGGACAGCCCAGCGCGCAACATGTTACTGTTTCGTCGTTTGGTTGCTTTTTTTAGCACCATTTCTTCACAGATCCTGTACCTTCACAGTAATCCCTTGCCATTGGAACTGGTTTGGGCTCATTCGCACATCTACGCAGCACGCGACGCTTGCTTGTGCGTCTGATCGCCTGAAACCGTGCTAAAGCAGACCAGCGTTAGACATGTCACCTTTTCGTCGTTTGGTTGCTTTTTTTAGCACCATTTCTTCACAGATGCTGTACCGACACACTAACCCCTTGCCATTGGAACTGGTTTGGGCTCATTCGCACATCTACGCAGCACGCGACGCTTGCTTGTGCGTCTGATCGCCTGAAACCGTGCTAAAGCAGACCAGCGTTAGACATGTCACCTTTTCGTCGTTTGGTTGCTTTTTTTTAGCACCATTTCTTCACAGATCCTGTACCTTCACAGTAATCCCTTGCCATTGGAACTGGTTTGGGCTCATTCGCACATCTACGCAGCACGCGACGCTTGCTTGTGCGTCTGATCGCCTGAAACCGTGCTAAAGCAGACCAGCGTTAGACATGTCACCTTTTCGTCGTTTGGTTGCTTTTTTTAGCACCATTTCTTCACAGATGCTGTACCTTCACACTAATCCCTTGCCATTGGAACTGGTTTGGGCTCATTCGCACATCTACGCAGCACGCGACGCTTGCTTGTGCGTCTGATCGCCTGAAACCGTGCTAGAGCAGACCAGCGTTAGACATGTCACCTTTTCGTCGTTTGGTTGCTTTTTTTAGCACCATTTCTTCACAGATGCTGTACCTTCACACTAATCCCTTGCCATTGGAACTGGTTTGGGCTCATTCGCACATCTACGCATCACGTGACGCTTGCTTGTGCGTCTGATCGCCTGAAACCGTGCAAGGACAGCCCAACGTTAGACATGTCACCGTTTCGTCGTTTGGTTGCTTTTTTTAGCACCATTTCTTCACAGATCCGTTACCATCACACTAATCCCTTGCCATTGGAACTGGTTTGGGCTCATTCGCACGTCTACGCAGCACGTGACGCTTGCTTGTGCGTCTGATCGCCTGAAACCGTGCAAGGACAGCCCAGCCCGCAACATGTCACCGTTTCGTCGTTTGGTTGCTTTTTTTAGCACCATTTCTTCACAGATGCTGTACCGACACACTAACCCCTTGCCATTGGAACTGGTTTGGGCTCATTCGCACATCTACGCAGCACGCGACGCTTGCTTGTGCGTCTGATCGCCTGAAACCGTGCTAAAGCAGACCAGCGTTAGACATGTCACCTTTTCGTCGTTTGGTTGCTTTTTTTTAGCACCATTTCTTCACAGATCCTGTACCTTCACAGTAATCCCTTGCCATTGGAACTGGTTTGGGCTCATTCGCACATCTACGCAGCACGCGACGCTTGCTTGTGCGTCTGATCGCCTGAAACCGTGCTAAAGCAGACCAGCGTTAGACATGTTACTGTTTCGTCGTTTGGTTGCTTTTTTTAGCACCATTTCTTCACAGATGCTGTACCGACACACTAACCCCTTGCCATTGGAACTGGTTTGGGCTCATTCGCACATCTACGCAGCACGCGACGCTTGCTTGTGCGTCTGATCGCCTGAAACCGTGCTAAAGCAGACCAGCGTTAGACATGTCACCTTTTCGTCGTTTGGTTGCTTTTTTTAGCACCATTTCTTCACAGATGCTGTACCGACACACTAACCCCTTGCCATTGGAACTGGTTTGGGCTCATTCGCACATCTACGCAGCACGCGACGCTTGCTTGTGCGTCTGATCGCCTGAAACCGTGCTAAAGCAGACCAGCGTTAGACATGTCACCTTTTCGTCGTTTGGTTGCTTTTTTTTAGCACCATTTCTTCACAGATCCTGTACCTTCACAATAATCCCTTGCCATTGGAACTGGTTTGGGCTCATTCGCACATCTACGCAGCACGCGACGCTTGCTTGTGCGTCTGATCGCCTGAAACCGTGCTAAAGCAGACCAGCGTTAGACATGTCACCTTTTCGTCGTTTGGTTGCTTTTTTTAGCACCATTTCTTCACAGATGCTGTACCGACACACTAACCCCTTGCCATTGGAACTGGTTTGGGCTCATTCGCACATCTACGCAGCACGCGACGCTTGCTTGTGCGTCTGATCGCCTGAAACCGTGCTAGAGCAGACCAGCGTTAGACATGTCACCTTTTCGTCGTTTGGTTGCTTTTTTTAGCACCATTTCTTCACAGATGCTGTACCTTCACACTAATCCCTTGCCATTGGAACTGGTTTGGGCTCATTCGCACATCTACGCATCACGTGACGCTTGCTTGTGCGTCTGATCGCCTGAAACCGTGCAAGGACAGCCCAACGTTAGACATGTCACCGTTTCGTCGTTTGGTTGCTTTTTTTAGCACCATTTCTTCACAGATCCGTTACCATCACACTAATCCCTTGCCATTGGAACTGGTTTGGGCTCATTCGCACGTCTACGCAGCACGTGACGCTTGCTTGTGCGTCTGATCGCCTGAAACCGTCCAAGGACAGCCCAGCGTTAGACATGTCACCGTTTCGTCGTTTTGTTGATTTTGTTAGCGCCAATTATTCACAGATTCTGTTGGTTCACACTATTAACTTGCCATTGGAACTTGTCTGGGCTCATTCGCACATCTACGCAGCACGTGACGCTTGCTTGTGCGTCTGATCGCCTGAAACCGTGCAAGGACAGCCCAGTGCGCAACATGTCACCGTTTCGTCGTTTGGTTGCTTTTTTTAGCACCATTTCTTCGCTTATTCTCTTAGTTCACACTATTCCCTTGCCATCGGACCTGTTTAGGCCTCAATCGCCCAAGTCCACAGGACACTATCCATAGTTTAGCAATTCGCAAACGTTATTGCCTTCACAATAGAATATGGTAGCTTGGTTCATATAGCCTAATACAGACTTGGCATGTCTTTGGTACACTAATATCTCGACGCTAAGGAGTGTGTAAATGGCTGGAAACCTAGGCCCACCATGGTTAGTGAGGATCTTGGAGGGTTGTGGTCTTTTGGAAAGAGCATTTAATATGTACATGTGATGTGAGGTGAGGTGGCAATGCAAGCATGTGATGTCAGGTGGGGTGGCAATGGAAGGACAGCTTTAGAGCTCAGAACATGTGGTCAACAGTTAATTGTGGTCTTCTTTCTGTAGGTGTTGCTTCTAGTGGGTTTAGAAATCCCACCCCTACTTGCTGTTTGATGCATCACACCTGCCATCCAGCTATGCAATGCTGTACTTGAAAGCTGCCAACATGCTTTCCTAGAAGCTACAATCCCTTGCATGCAACACTTGCCTTGTGCCCCATTTGGAACCATGCCATCCTTGCCATTAATCTGGTCCTTATGCTTGATCTGAACATAGGAACGTTCTGCTGGATCTGATGCTAGATGCCAAGAGGTTGCCCTTGTTTGAAGCAAACCATGGTTGAGAAGATCGTCTCATGTGAAACCTACACCTGGCAAAATCAAAATGGCTTTGCATCTGGTCCCAAAGTGAGACCACTGGTGTCTCCTGGATCCAGGCTGGCATAATTGCTCTGGACAGCATACAATATCACCCTAGGAAGAAGACAGTTTGACCTCTGTCTTCTAGTGATGCATTCCCATATCACCTGTTGAAGTGTTCTCCCCTGGATTGCATCCTATGTCGTTTTGGTTTCTCTTTCCCCCTTCACTCTTACCCTCCCCAGCTTACCTCACGTCACCCGCAGAGGTTCCTTTCCGTAGCAAACATTCCTCAGAATCACTCGAAGGGCAAATGCTTAGCTTGCAGCTTGTTGACCTCCATTCCCCTGACAAATCGACTCGCCTCTGTATTAGTTTGACGTACGCTTGGTGAGCCCTAAAACCCGCATATCATGTCTATGCCGTCCTGCTGTTCGTCTAGAACCCTGCGATCCGTGCGTTTTGCGAATCTGTGCCACGTTCCCCTTTCCCTCTCGCCCCCTCTACCCCTTGTCAAGACGTTTCACCGTTGCGTTCTTTTTACCTATCACAAGACATCCTTAACTGCTTATCGCACGTCCCTGCGTCTCCGCCATACCCTAATCTCGCACTTCCCTGCAGCAAATTACCCTCATCCCTTTCTCCACTGGACGTGCGACCCCGGCTCGGGATTGTCACACACTGTGGTTACAGCAACACGAACGGTGGCGCACGTTGTTGCTGAGGCTTGGTTGTCGAGGCATTTTCCTAGATCGGCAGTACGGTAAAGGCGCGAGGGTGTTACAGGGGGGGTAGCACGGTGTGAGCGCAAATCTACGAAATCCTCCCAGGGAAGGCGCATTCCCATCAATATCCAAGGGCACTTACCTGCCCCGTTTCTTCTACGAAGTTGCCATCCGCTCTCCCATCCTATCCTCGTCCTCGCTTGCCTTTTGTACTCCTCATCGCTCCTATCCTGCTCTCCTCTTCTCTCCCATCCTGCTCTCCTCTCCTCTCCCATGATGCTTTTGTTCTATCCTATCCTGCTGTCTTTTCCACCGAGGTTCTGCACAACCGTTGATCCACGCGGTCTCGTTCTTGTGGCGTTTCTACGTGCCGTCCTGTGCAGTCGAGTTTGCAGGCGTGGCGCACGGTGTGAGCGGCGGAATCCGCAGGCGTGGCGCGCGGTGTGAGCTCCGGAATCCGCAGGCGTGGCGCACGGTGTGAGCTCTGCTAGTTCCGCAGGCGTGGCGCACGGTGCGCGCGCAGAGTCCTACTCGAATCCTGCTTGGATTTAGTTCGCTTCTTCTCTACCCTTCCTTACGATCCGCTCCTCTCCCATCCTGCCTTCCTTTCCTCTCACTTCCTGCCTTCCTGTCATCTCCCTTGGCCTCATTTCCTCTCCCCTCCCGCTTTCAACTACTCTCCCTTTCTTGCCTTACTCTCCTTTTCCTTCCTGCCTTCCTCTCCTCTCCCTTCTTGCCTTCATCCCCTCTCCTTTCTTGCCTGCATCTCCTCTCCCTTCCTGCCTTCCGCTGCTCTCCCTTCATGCTTTCTTCTCCTCTCCCTTCCTGCCTTCATTTCCTCTCCCATCCTGCTCTCCACTCCTCTCCCTTCCTGCATTATCCCCTTGCCCTTCCTGCCTTATCCCGTTTCTCTTCCTGCCATCCTTTCCTCTCCCTTCCTGCCTACTTCTCCGCTCCCTTCCTGCATTCATCTCCTCTCCCCGAACTTCGTTTCCGCTCAAATCCCTTTACCGCCTTCATTTCAATTCCTTTCATGCCTTCATGTCCTCCCCTCCTCTCCCATCCTGCTCTCCTCCTCTCCATCCTGCTCTCCTCTCCTCTCCCATCCTGCTCTCCTCTCCTCTCCCATCCTGCTCTCCTCTCCTCTCCCATCCTGCTCTCCTCTCCTCTCCCATCCTGCTCTCCTCTCCTCTCCCATGATGCCCTCTCTTGTCCTATCCTGCTGTATTCCCCACCCAGGTTCTCGTTCTTGTGGCGTTCCTACGTGCCATCCTGGGCACCCGAGTTTGCAGGCGTGGCGCACGGTGTGAGCTCCGGAATCCGCAGGCGTGGCGCACGGTGTGAGCTCCGGAATCCGCAGGCGTGGCGCACGGTGCGTGCGCAGAGTCCTACTCGACTCCTGCTTGTGTTTCATTTGCTCCTTCTCTACCCTTCCTCTCATTCCGCTCCTCTCCCTTCCTGCCTTCGTTTCCTCTCCCTTGCCCTCATTTTTCCCGTTTACTCCCTTGAACTACTCTCCCTTTCATGCCTTCAAGTATTCTCCCTTTCATGCCTTCAAGTACTCTCCCTTTCATGCCTTCAAGTACTCTCCCTTTCCTGCCTTGATCTCCTCTCCCTTGCTGCCTTCCTCTCCTCTACCGTCTTGCCTTCATATGCTCTCCCTTCCTTCCTTAGCGTGCAACCGCCTTCTTGCCTTCATTTCGATTCCTTTCATCCCTTTATGTCCTCTCCCATCCTGCTCTCCTCTCCTCTCCCATCCTGCTCTCCTCTCCTCTCCCATCCTGCTCTCCTCTCCTCTCCCATCCTGCTCTCCTCTCGTCTCCTGCTCTCCTCTCCTGCTCTCATATCCTCTCCTGCTCTCATATCCTCTCCTGCTCTCGTATCCTCTCCTGCGCTCATATCCTCTCATGCTCTCATATCCTCTCATGCTCTCATATCCTCTCCTGCTCTCATATCCTCTCCTGCTCTCATATCCTCTCCTGCTCTCATATCCTCTCATGCTCTCATATCCTCTCCTGCTCTCATATCCTCTCCTGCTCTCATATCCTCTCCTGCTCTCATATCCTCTCCTGCTCTCATATCCTCTCCTGCTCTCATATCCTCTCCTGCTCTCATATCCTCTCCTGCTCTCATATCCTCTCCTGCTCTCATATCCTCTCCTGCTCTCATATCCTCTCCTGCTCTCATATCCTCTCCTGCTCTCATATCCTCTCCTGCTCTCATGTCCTCTCATGCTCTCATATCCTCTCCTGCTCTCATATCCTCTCCTACTCTCATATCCTCTCCTGCTCTCATATCCTCTCCTGCTCTCATATCCTCTCCTGCTCTCATGTCCTCTCCTGCTCTCATATCCTCTCCTGCTCTCATATCCTCTCCTGCTCTCATATCCTCTCCTGCTCTCATATCCTCTCCTGCTCTCATGTCCTCTCATGCTCTCATATCCTCTCCTGCTCTCATATCCTCTCCTGCTCTCATGTCCTCTCATGCTCTCATATCCTCTCCTGCTCTCATATCCTCTCATGCTCTCATATCCTCTCCTGCTCTCATATCCTCTCCTGCTCTCATATCCTCTCCTGCTCTCATATCCTCTCCTGCTCTCATATCCTCTCCTGCTCTCATATCCTCTCCTGCTCTCATATCCTCTCCTGCTCTCATATCCTCTCCTGCTCTCATATCCTCTCCTGCTCTCATATCCTCTCCTGCTCTCATGTCCTCTCATGCTCTCATATCCTCTCCTGCTCTCATATCCTCTCCTACTCTCATATCCTCTCCTGCTCTCATATCCTCTCCTGCTCTCATATCCTCTCCTGCTCTCATGTCCTCTCATGCTCTCATATCCTCTCCTGCTCTCATATCCTCTCATGCTCTCATATCCTCTCCTGCTCTCATGTCCTCTCATGCTCTCATGTCCTCTCCTGCTCTCATATCCTCTCCTGCTCTCATATCCTCTCCTGCTCTCATATCCTCTCCTGCTCTCATGTCCTCTCATGCTCTCATATCCTCTCCTGCTCTCATATCCTCTCATGCTCTCATATCCTCTCCTGCTCTCATATCCTCTCCTGCTCTCATATCCTCTCCTGCTCTCATATCCTCTCCTGCTCTCATATCCTCTCCTGCTCTCATGTCCTCTCATGCTCTCATGTCCTCTCATGCTCTCATATCCTCTCCTGCTCTCATATCCTCTCCTGCTCTCATATCCTCTCCTGCTCTCATGTCCTCTCATGCTCTCATATCCTCTCCTGCTCTCATATCCTCTCATGCTCTCATATCCTCTCCTGCTCTCATATCCTCTCCTGCTCTCATATCCTCTCCTGCTCTCATATCCTCTCATGCTCTCATATCCTCTCCTGCTCTCATATCCTCTCCTGCTCTCATGTCCTCTCATGCTCTCATATCCTCTCCTGCTCTCATATCCTCTCATGCTCTCATATCCTCTCCTGCTCTCATATCCTCTCCTGCTCTCATGTCCTCTCATGCTCTCATATCCTCTCCTGCTCTCATATCCTCTCATGCTCTCATATCCTCTCCTGCTCTCATATCCTCTCCTGCTCTCATATCCTCTCCTGCTCTCATATCCTCTCCTGCTCTCATATCCTCTCCTGCTCTCATATCCTCTCCTGCTCTCATTTCCTCTCCTGCTCTCATATCCTCTCCTGCTCTCATATCATCTCCCGTGCTGCCCGTCTGACCAATCCTGCTATCTTCGCAATCCGCAGGCGCGTCGCACGGTGGGAGCTGCGCAATCCGCAGCCGCGTCGCACGGTGGGAGCTACGGAATTCGCAACTGTGTCGCAAGGTGCGTGTGAAGAATCCTTATCGGAATTTGCATGGGTTTCCTTCGCTTCTATCTCCTCCCTGTCCTCTTTATCCCTGCATGCCTTCATCTCATCTCGCTCACTGCCTTCCTCTTCTCTCCCTCACTGCCTTCCTCTCCTCTCACTTACTGCCTTCCTATCCTATCCCTTCATGCCTTCATCTCCTCTCCCTTCCTGTCCTCCCCTCCATCTCCCTTTCTGTCCTCCTCTCCCCTCTCCGTTTTTGTCCCCCCCTCCCATCCTCCTCAGTGTCCACACCTCTCCTCTCCCGCTCCGTCCTCCACTGCTCGCTTCTCCACCCATGTTCGCAGGCGTGTCGCGCAGTGGGATCTCAGGAAACAGTAGGGTCGCGCAACATGTGGGTTCCGGAATCCGCATGCCAACCCCCCGCGGTGCGTACGCGGAAATCTCGCTTCCCCTTCCCCTTCCTCTTCCTCACCCTGCCTTCCTCTCCTCTCGCTTCCTGCCATAATCCCATCTCCTGTCCTGCCTTCATCTCCTCTCCCGTCCTGCCTTCATCTCCTCTCCCGTCCTGCCTTCATCTCCTCTCCCGTCCTGCCTTCATCTCCTCTCCCGTCCTGCCTTCATCTCCTCTCCCGTCCTGCCTTCATCTCCTCTCCCGTCCTGCCTTCATCTCCTCTCCCGTCCTGCCTTCATCTCCTCTCCCGTGCTGCCATCATCTCCTGTTCTGGCCTGCCTCCCTCTCCTCTCCCTTCCTGCCTCCCTCTCCCCTCTCTTTCTGTCCTCCCTTCTCCCCTCTCCTTCTGTCCCCCCTTCTCCCCTCTCTTTCTGTCCTCTCTCTTCTCCCGTGCTGCCTTCCCGCTCCTCTCCCTTTCTTTTCCTTTCCCTCCGCTCTTCTTCGCTATTACATCCTGTACATTCATGCAGATAAACGAGTTCTTTGCACCGGTGACATAGCACGGGCGTTTCAAAGGAGGTGGTGACGGCAGTTCGGATCCAAATCGGCCAGCGATCTTCGCCTGCCATCGTGTGGGCCCGAATCCGGGAGGAGATCTCACAGCCGAAAGGCCTGCCTTTGGGGCGTGCTGCACTCCCTCAGTAACGAACATTGAAGGAGTGCGACCTTGTTGTGCGCTTAAGGTAACCTTATTCGCCAGTTTAGTTGTTTATTTCCACTCACGGGATAGGTGCACATACACGGTCTGGGATCACATGCATGACTGGATGACACCTGAACGGTTGGTGTTTGCTTTGCCGTGAATGATGAATCTCACATATCCGCGACCCCCGTTTCCCTACTACGTTTCCATCTGCGGTGCACCTCCCCTTTCGTATCATATGTTAGGGTTGTTTACTTCTCTCGCTTAACGCCCTCCGCTCTTCTCTCGTCTAACCCTCCGCTCCTCTCCCGCCCAGCCCTCTGGTTCTCTCCCCAATGCCTACCCTCCTCTCCTCTCCCATCCTGCCCTCCCTTCTGCCCTGCCATCCTCTCCCATCCAGCCCACATATCCTTTCCCGGCCTCCCACTCACTTTGTGTACCGTGCCTCTTAACTCCACACAGGTCTGCTCAACACATGTTGCCTGCTAACTCTTCGGTGCGGCGTCTGCGATACACTGAATATACGTCAAACCTTGGGCTAGGTTGTGGTGACGTCGTGGGCATGTGCGTTTGGGCTGCGGGTGTCCGGTACTGTCTAACGTTGCCTGATGTGTCATTTAGTATACCTATATGCGTCTATAATACGTGCATCAATATTACGCCCCATACATGTAATTATGTGATTCTGGCCATATCTGCATCTTTTTAGCACACTCAAACCGACCAGGATCAAAAGTAAAACCTACGAGATCTGCTTCTATCGCAGGTAGTTTCCAGATTGAACCGTGCCCGACATCCAGGCGTTCGTGCTAGGCTTGATGCAAGACACCGTACGCTGTGGGAGCTTCCTGCCGACTTAGAGGTAAGGGTATAGATGAGTCTTTTATCGCATTGTGTATACGATGCTTGACATGTGGTGGCTATGTTAAACCCTGGATGACTCTAATCTACATGCTGTTTACCATGTGCAGTTACCCGAACCTCGACATGCTTATCTTCGTATGCCGGCATTGCGGGAAGGGGTTGAAGAGCGAGTTAGGTCTAGTGAATCACCAGAGGAGTAATCAACGGTGTTTAGCGTTTCAGGAAGCAAATGCGTTTAGCACTCCAACTAGTCGCGGGATTTTGGTACCACCATTAGAACGTGTAGAGTTGACGCCGCCATTTCCATTCGTGTTTGGAGTGCAGGATCCGGTAGTAGATAGGGGTGATGGCTACGATGAGTCGTACGATGATGACACTGAAGTCTTTTGTGACGTCGAGGTCGAGTTTGGGGAAGAGGAGGAAGAGCGCCCTATATTCGACACTAAGAAGGAGACGTTTAGGTTTCTGGAGAGTTGCAATAAGGGTACTGGAATGGCCAGTCCAGACGTTAGTTACTTTTTTAGGTTAGTGAAGCAGCCCGGTTTTGATCCAGCACAGCTTGCTGAGTGGACCACAAAAGCAGCAGTAGATAGGTATGGGATAGAGGCCTTAGGAGTTTCTAAGCAGCAGTTTAAAACGATAGAAGTAACTGTAAGAGGATGGCCGTCATCATTTCAAGTCAAGACAGTGGATCTGAAAGAGGTATGGTTATGAACGTTTGGTAGTTAGTTTGTTCTATCTTTGACTGTATTTGACAGAGGTTTGTTGATTGGCAGGCATTGGAAAGGATGTGGGGGGATAAGCGCAACGCTCCTGGATTCACACATCACGCTAAGAAAAAGATGGTGGACGATATTAGAGTGTATGATGCAGCACACAATGGGGATTATTGGTTGGGTGCTCAGGTAAACACAATGTTAGGAATGTTTTGTTGACTATTTCATGTGCCCTCTTAGTGCAGCCACTTACATTCTCTTACTCCGCCCAATATTACTCCACTACAGAAAGGCCTGGGACCCAAGGAGTGTGTCTGTCCACTCATCATTTCGAGCGATGAGACCACGCTGAGTGGTAACGAGCGATGTCGCGCTTGGCCGGTATACCTTACCTTTGCCAATCTTCCTGTTGATACGAGATGGAAGGAGCATGGTCGCACAATGATTGCGCTCTTGCCGCGTCCGGATCCTGAGATGGAAGCCTGGCAAAAAGTGGAGCTGTTTCAGAAGAGTAGTTCTGCAGTGTTTGAAAGCCTCATGCGGTTTTGCAAAACGTATGTGTAATGGTGTTATTTGCATATTGTCTCCAAATGTAGTCGTGATGCTGAATTACGGCTCCTACTCTTATACGTTTTCCCCATGGGTGTTTGTTGTGGATTTGTAGTTCTCTGCCCTTGACAGATCCTAACGGCAAAGTTTGGACCGTTTGGTTCAAACTGTTCGAGTACATCGCTGATTATCCCGAGACCTGCAAGGTCATATGCACGATGCAACACAACTCGGCGCGCCCTTGCTCGATCTGCTATGTGGAGAAGTCGCAGCTGGACGTCATGGATCCAAACATCATCGAGTACAGGACCGTAGAGCGTCAAATGAAGTACGCCAAGGACGCTAAGCTAGCGAAAGAGTATTCTACGGTTATGATGGACGTAAGTAACATGGCTATTATTACAGCTGTCATGTATAGTTTGCGAAATGACACGCTGACATTGCGCTGGTGCGGGAGTATTATATGCCTCGCATGCCACTTGAACTAATGTAACCCATAGTTTGTCGGTGTCCCGTATATCAACCCCGCCCTGTAGACCTTTCTGTGGCATTTCGGCAAGCAGAAGGACGCTGAGAAGGATTGGGGAAACCCGTATCAAGTAATCCAACCTGATGTGTTACATGTGATCTTGATCGGGCTTTGGGTGTACATCCTTGAAGCTTTGCTTCTCAAGAACAAAAATGTTAAAACGATGAACGAGTAAGTATGCAAGTGGATTCATAAATATGGCGCTTCTCTTTACCCTCTCTTAATGGATAATATACGCAATAGTAACTTTGTTTCTACTGTATTGCCACTGGCAGACGCCATCGGGATCTCTACCGGGAGGCGCGATCAGCAGGCATTCCGCTACCCCCCCCTGGACGCTACTTCAGCCTTGGAGCCAACTTCTCAGCATCGGATCATGCAGGAATGTTGCGGGTGAGTATGTTTCCCCTATTAGATAGTAACGTTCGTCCCACTGTATGTTTAGTTTGACCATTCTACCCACCGTGTGGTATTGTGTAATCCAGGTGGTCGTGTTCATTATGGAAGGACTCATTTCCGGTGCGGGAATGTATATTCTGCGTTTCTTTGTGAACTGGTTCGACACCTACTTCAGGGCAACATCCTACACGAAGGCATCGCTGGAGAAATATGTGACTGACACCCAAGAGTAAGTGTTTTGTCCTACATGTATTGAATGTGTTGGGAGTTGCCCGATTGGATGTTTGTACAGATTGGTTGCTTATACCATTGTATCTCATGCCTTGCCATTTCATTGGCAGATTGATCCGACTGTTGGTACACAATCTGCCACGCGGGGGAAATGGGTGGAAGCTTGTGAAAGTACATTTGCTGCTGCACTTCCCAGATTCGATTAGGCGAGGCGGTTTGCCTAGGGAGTTCTGCACTAGCCTGTTCGAGCATGCACACACTGCCTCATGTAAACGACCATTTCGAGCATCCAACTTTCGAGAGTATGATGCAGCAATCATGCGCAGCGCGGTGATGCGCAACGCGCTGTCTCTGTTGCCAACTTCTCTGCTGCAGAGCAAGCGTTACGACACCGCCCTCATGAAGGTACAGTAGTTCGTATGTTAATGCATCCTGTTTCTATCCCACTGGTATCTTGTGTGTCACCCTGATCCAAATCTTGGCATCTTTTTCCCTACATGGAACCCTCTTAAATTCCAGGCCATCTCTCTCAAAACACACGTGCTGACGTCCCGACACAACACCATGGTTCTGCCGTGCCGCGAGGGTGGGGTTGTGGGAGATGCCTTGTGGGACTCGTTCGTCAACCATCATGGGACGGGAATGCGCTCGCTTCCTGAGTTGCTCAAGAGTCAGCCAAGTCTGTGGAGGTATGGTTTGTTCTTGACTTGTTGTACTCCTCCATACCCAACCGGACGTTCTACACTGTTGTGATTATTCAACAAACGATCGTTTGCCTTATCCTTCCAGGTACATACCTCGATCGCACTACCACCAGGGGACGACTACGAGGCGCATTACGCACGGGCAGCATTGACGTTCCATAACGCACCTTGTTTCTCCTATGTTGCGATTTTGGGGAACGAAAGTGCGCCGCTTGGAGCTGAGGTGATTACAACGTGGTTCGCACAGCTGATGCTCTTGTTCCATGTGGATTCTGTTGAGGACGGGCGTGCAGTGAAGAAGGCCTATGCAATGGTGCGATACTACGAAGTTGGAGATGT